TAGGCAATAAACATGTAATTACTTTATTGTGAATGCTATAGTGTTAATAACACAGCGATGTCGCTAGAAAAATTATGTTCGCCTACGTTTCGGTTACCGTGGGTAACCTTTTTCAAGGCAAGCTTGTAAAACCTGCATTGCCTCAGCTTATTTTTCCTACTTGAACAGCAGGGCTATTCATACACACTTCTTCCTAACCTCGATCTTGTTGAAATTATTTTCACTGCAATTCATGACTTTGCCAACAGGGCATCATAGACACCAATTAAGTGCAAATATAGCTCTTAAGAATGGCGATTCCTCAGAATTAAATCACTATTAATAATCAATTGATTTCAGATGGAAAAATACCGATCTCATTTATCAGAGTGATTGCCAAAAGACATTTTGATCTCTTACGGTTTTACCTAAAGATAGAAGGCAGACGAGAGAAAAGGAGAATGAGGGAACAAGAAGATTGCTGAGAGTGATTAACTACAACACAAACGGAACACAGTGCGGACAGTTGATCCTGTGCTTCCATTTTTGTCGAAATGTGCTAGCCCGGAAAAAACGAACGTTTGAGGGCAGGGGGGGGGCTAACAAAAGCAAATCGTTTTGGCGGAACTGATCAGCTTTGAGTGCATGTGTGCAATTACAGATTTGAACCCACGAACACACACACACACACGCACATGGGAATACAGAAAAATTAGTACAACACCTGCAATTCTTTTTATAATCATCCACTCTTGGCTCCATAAAAGTAAGGCAACTCGCTTTTCTCGAGGTAATTACTCGGGCGTTTGTCCGAAAAGTTGCATTTACAGAAACGGTCGCGCTGCGCTCGTATGGTTGGCGTTGTCTTAAATTTTTCTAGCCGAATCAACTGGTTTACATGACTTTGTCTCCACGGTCAACAAGAGAACTTTTGTTTACATAAGACTGACAACGTTGAAAAATTTTGGTTTGGGCTATTCGGGCCTAATTAAATTTAGGTAATGATTGCAATTTTCAGCTCCAGAAAAGCGTCCACTCTCGTTCAAGCGTATAAAAGTATAAGGTGACAGCGAACTAAACGTTTCCAAAAGTATGCTTGGCTAAGTTTTAGTCAGAAATGAGAGAAACGTAAAATAATCTTGAGTAAACGTAAATTCATTTGTAATTGAGCAGTTAACTGTTTTATAATAATTAAATACAAAATTAACTATAGAGAGGCGAATAACCCCGATCAGAAATGAGGAAACTAAAATTACACGCTCCATGTGCAACCAATAGATGGATCCCAAAAATAATGGAGCTCCTCCAGGCGAAGACTGTTTCACTTGGCTGTAGAGACGAATTATGAGATTAATTTCCAGTTTGATATATACCACATCAAAATAAATAGCGAACATTTCCCATAACACTTAGATGAAGAAAAAATATTAATTGTTTAGTAATTCAGCTTATCATCTACAGCTTTCAAACTATGAGCACCAGAGTGAAGATGAAATGAGAGTAACTGCCTTAGCGTAGTTTAAAAAATCAAAATCAAAACCTTTAAACCTCAAAAATTAAGTACCTGTGTTTAAAAAAACCTTAAATAGAACGACTCCGATCGAAACGTTTATTTTCACACTAAACACAGTGATTTTGGTTATCGAATGAACAAGAGAGGCTCGGGATCCAAGGGATAAAAATGACGAACTTAACTTGAAAAATTGTTATTGTGCCTGTTAGTCCAACAATCAAGAGCGGATTTCTGAATTTTTCACTAGAAAACCGCTTTACCATTGGGTTGTTATGTTGAAACAAAGTTTCTAGAAACCTTTCAGCTGTTCCGTGGAAGATAGCTACAATAGAACTTAATTTTTCTTGCGTTGCAAGGAACTGTTTTTTCAAATTCATATTGCCTTCGTTTATTTACCTCAAGACGGAGGCTGATACGAGCACTACTTATTCCAAAGAATATAATAATTGGACATGAATAATTCAAACCAGTACTTCATAAAACGGAATAACAAAAGCATAGATATAAAGGAAAGGACCACGTTCTGCTCCGCCCTGTCTTTAATGGAAAAGAGGCTTATTCTTCCTTAAAGCTGCTTACATTTTTATGATTTTTGTTACTCTCGTTTCATAGTTATTTTGAACTCTACCTCAATGACATTTGTTCTGATCTTTCCACTTTTGCAACAAATGAAAGTTTGAATTTTATCCGGGAAATTAGTTACAAATTCATGCTTCTCTTACCTTGTAGTACATTTTCACAATTGAATCTTGCTATGATCAAAAACTATAAGCATCTGAAGGTATTCCGAGCATAAATATGATATAGCCACATTTCATTTGTTAACGTGGTTTCACTTGTACTGAAATGTAAGGCTTGTTATTATTCTGCTAGGTCCCAACTTGCAATGGTTGTTGCACAAATGACTTGGAATGGGCGTCACAGTCAGCATTTTAGACTAAAAAGTGAAACAGATGTTCCCTGAAGCATAAGATATAGATTTGAGCGTGTCCCTTATTCTCCTCAATCGGTTTTTGATTCGCTATCTCTTTGTTGCACAAATTCTCTCTTCCTCCTGGGTACATCCATAAATTTTTCACTCTGTTGGTCCCGTTTTATTTACACACTCGCCTCTCGCGCTGCGCTAAAATTCGGTTTTCTATTCCACACAAAGCATTTTCTTACAACCAAGCACCTCTTATACAAAGCTCTAATCCGCCCGATGCTCGAAAACTGTAGTCACGTATGGGTTGGAGCTTCGTATCCCACACTTTCTTTCCTCAACCGTGTTTAACGTATGGGCCATCCGACTGATCGATGAATCGTCCTTAACTTCCACCCTACACTCGCTTCTCCATCGCCGGACAGTTGCTTCGTTTTCGCTCCTCCATCGTTACTATTTTGGTTTCTGTTCTTCCAAACTCACTTCGGCGGTTCCCTTCCATTGACCTTTTCTCGTTTTTGTGTTTACAGATCAAGTAGACCATTGTGTTTAAGTCGTCTCTTGCTTCATTGGGGTAAATTTGACGTCAGATAGGATTTTCTTTATGATGGAGATGGAAGACTCAAAAACAATGACGGTGAAGCGTTGGAACCCCATATTAAATCCCTATCGTTATTGCATTAGAGATATAGTACTACATCGAAGAAAACATGGGTTGTTTAATGAGAAAAACTTGGGCAAGATAAAAAGAATTCCAATAAAACTAAAAAATATGAGCAAAAAGCTGTTAACAATTTCCGTGAATGTGAACCCTTTAAATGTCTTCCAAAACATTATAACAAATGATAACAACATCAATAAAGACCTTAATTCGTATGGTGAAACAGAACCTGGGACAAGGTAAAATGGGAAAGTCAAGAGATAACTATGTCGATGAACACGTAATCTATTGGATAAAACTGCTCACCTGCTTGAGCCAGAATTTCAACCACACCCACATGTCCCATATACGCGGCTGCGATCAGCGAAGATCTTCCCTCTGCATCTTGTTGGTTCACATTTGCCCCGGCGTCCAACAAGCGTTGAACTATTTCCTCGTGTCCAGCCCAAGATGCTGCTCGCAGTGCGCTACGTCCATCCGGGCCGGATAGGTTGACTTCAGCACCGTAGGACAGAAGCAATTCCACAATGTCTATATCGAAAACAAATGAGACAAGCAGTAAATAGATAAATGGAAATGAATACGTGGTAAGGAATCTCGAGTAATGCGGAACTGACTCTAACAAACGCCCTTTTCAAGTAGTTCACGACAAGTAATAGTACCCGTTTCACACACCGACAACTGCAGCTAATGGACAAATCATGATTTACAGTGGAAATTGCTGCCATTTGTAATTATTGTAAATAAATTATGAGATGTTATTTCATCGGATCTTCGTTCAATTTATTGATTCCCGGTATTAGTATAGCAAAGTAAAAACCGTCGAACAGTTGCCTTTCCCCGACATTAACTGAGTCATTGGTGTGCAAAATGTTAATATCTACCCTTTATAAAAACCACTCAAGCAAAAACGATGGTAAACGGAAGAAATAGAAAGGAAGACAACAGACACCAGCGAAGAAGCATGTTTGCTTCACTTTGGCACAGCTATGAAGTGGTCCAATCTTTGGCATGATATATGATTATATATTTATAAACATTTACGACGTCAGAAGATACATGATAAGGCGTAAGATTCTTTGCATCACAAGTGTTTCCAACGAAACCACACAATCGTGTGCCTCAATTTTATTAACTTAAAACAATAAAACGAAGATTAATTGAACGAGAGCATTTTCATATATGTTCCAAACCATGGGGTCTGTGAGTTCGCACATCCAATACGCGAAAACTGCTCTCATCCAGCAGCCATGAATATAGAGCTAAAGACTAACAACCCAAAAGTTTGGGTAAGAGTAACAACAAGTTAAAGGCAATATGAAGCGCCAACGAATCCTTCTGTGTTAGCTTTCAAACACAAAACGATATCGCATTCGAAAAAGTGGATCGGTTTTTTTCGTGAATTGTGTACCACTGTCTTTTCGGTGAAGAAGGATAAACTACAATGCATTCTCTGATAAATTTTGGACATTTTGGTATAGTAGAAATCGTGACGAAGACGACAACTTAAAATCATAAACTGGACATGCATTTGTATGATAATTTCTACTGTATTGCAAATTCACCGTTACGCAATCGTTCTAGTGATGAGTAAGAACAAACACTTAAAGGTGCTTCAACGGCAGCCGAAGAAGATTTCATCAGCCGATAATAAATAATAAATATGAATCAGATGGTAGGAAATATAAAGGAACAACGATACATTGAATCACTCAGAATTTAAGCAACTCAATTTGTGATTTAAGCAAAACCTGGGAATAAAAATGAATGATATACATTTTTAGAGTATCAAGTTTGGATTAGCCGATTCGATTTTTCAGAGGCATCGAATACTCTTGATCTTCTTTTTGTTTCTCAACCCTTAATTGGCTTGTGACTGTTTTCAGTTCTTCGTCGTTAATTGCTTACACAGCTTGAATGAATGCACACCCAAACGAATAGTAGTCAACAACTCATCACAGTGACACAGCAAGGAAAAACATTAAATCGCAATATGACAAATACACTAACTAATCTAACGTGACTAAATTAGCCATATTGAATCGGCGATGCTTTGCCAGGTTCATTGACACAATTCCGTATAGGTTGACCCTATCGTTCATGCTTGAATGTGACGGAACAGAATAATATCACGCCTATTTCAACAATAGAACTATCGATCTTTTTAAGATAAATAACACCCGTTCGTTGAAAAAAATGACACAAATTAGCTTTCCCTTTCTCCCACTACAATAATTATTAGGTTTGTGGGTTTATTAATTTGGCAATCTTTAAATGTCATCACATTGTATTGTATCCGGTGAAAAAACTGATTAGGAAGAACAACAGAGAGAAAAATAAACAAAGAGCATCTGCAATAGTTCACTGTCGGATATCTGAGTTGATCGGCAACCCCACAGCAGTTCGTAGATTATGAAAACCTATAGCATACAGAAATAACAACGCCTATTCAGAAGACGACACCCTGACAGTAAATATAAGCCAACTGTTATTGTAAAATACCGTTTCTCAATTGAATGCCAAAAATACCGAAAAGAGTTGAAATTAAATTTATTGACAAGAGAATTTGACAGTTCGTCACAAAACATGCTTCTGCAATGGGAACAATAGAATATCTTTTTCCTCAGGTTTAAATCGTCATAAATGAGTCAAAACTCAGTGATTAGGGGTCCCAATATTGGACTATTTGGTCGAAATTATTTGAGTAACGATGTTAAGACAGGTTAGGAAAACAATCTTACTTTGTTATTGCATTTGCGTGTTGTATGCATCAACCGTCATTGCTGATCAACAGTCCGCAAAACAGCTCGTTTAATCTCACTGTGTGCCCAACATATCCTCTAATATTTTTCTTTCAACAGGAGCCTGCTGTTCAATCAATTTAAAGTTACACCAATCACCAAAACAAAAATTACGAGAATCAGAAACATTTAATGATCCAAAGTGAATTAGGAAATCAGAAGTAGGAAAATTGGTTCCCTTTCAAAAGGAATTAGAAATAAATTAGTGTATGTGAATAAACATTCCCATAGCATTCTGCTGTTCATTTTACATTACTAACTACCAAATTCATCAAACAATGGAATATTCTGAAGACAAATAGTCACATGCTGGAAAACCAGAGCAGTTCTTATTGATTTTACGTAGGCATATGAAAATAAACCCATCGGGAGTTCGCAGATGAAAGAGTCCGCTTAGTCCATCCAGTGATCCAATACAGTTCGGACATTGATTCCATAAATAGTGTTGATTTATTTCAGTCGGGAATTATCTTCGCGTCATGATACGTGCAAAGTTCACAGATTTTAATTCAATAATATTTACCTGCTGCATTCGTTAGGCTCAATAAAACAAAAGTGAATCTGTTTAACAAAATTTCCTTAAATCAAACTGTCGGACGAGCTCGATACATTTTTCGTTTACAACCGGATCTATTATTCTACAGTTCTGCATCCCCTGTCCATCATAGTTTTCGGTTCAAAGAAAGTGTGATAAAATCGTGCATTAGGGAAGGAGGGTTTTCAATTGTGAAAATTTAGCTAACTTCAACATCCGTACTTTACCGGTGCTGTTCTAAAACATTCTCCGGTAAATTGAATTACGCAATACAGAATTTCTCACAATCAGATTGCAGTTAACCTTGAACCAATTAATGTGACGGCAATACTTGAATAAATCCATTCTGTTTTCATAAGCACCACGTACGAATGTGCCGTTTTGTTCATGGACCTGGGACTCATTGGGAGTCTGTCCATACTCTTTCAGTGAAATGCATTCATGTAAGGTGAAATTATTGTGCGGTAACCCGATGAGGACACAGCAGTCGTCCAGTACTCTTCATCACGCAATAACGCCATCGCAGACCGATTTGAATTTCAGAATACCAACAATACATAAAGGATCATCGTTATCAAGATAACTGCCGCACATCAATGATCAATCGAAACGTCGAGAAAAGCAATTGAATTAATCCATAAATCAGTCGTATGCCTAAGGGAGTTTGATAAACCCAAAGCAGCCTGAAACCAGAGACAGAAACAATGCTATATGTACAATGACCGGGTATATGATACCATATACTGCCGAGTACTTGGTACAAGTTCACATTAATGAATCAATTCAACTTTTTCCGTTCAACGCTGACCCACGTGAAAATACATTTGGCTTTCCATTGAGGGAAACCCCTCTACCAATGAGCTGATTGAACACACAAGCAATACATTGAACCCTATACACGATATGACTGGGTGTAGTAGAGAATGACACTCGTGAAAGTACTCGATTAATTCGCAAATTTAGTCTTTACCTTGATGCTGCTCTGATTTGAACTTCCTCCATCGTATTCTTCGGTGTTCGAGCAAACTGGCAACCAACAGATGGCACCTAATATCGCTGTAAGAAGGTTCAAGGGTACTTACTGGTGGCACCAAATGAAACTGAAACTGTACTTTGCAACGAGAACTGAAAATCAACAGACGCATCATGCATTTGGATTGTAAGTTGATATACAAATTTAACTAGACAGGTGTGGACTGACCCCTTCTGGATCAAGTGACCAATTAAATAATAATAATAATAACCTAATAAAACGGTGGGTCAAACACAGGATATCTCAATTCCTGAAAATGATAACCGAATAAATGGTCTAATAATAAGGTTCCATTTTGTGTAACTCACTCTAGGGGAATGAATAAGCGAAAATAATACTAGGATGCATGACCCGGGTTTATCAAGAAGTTATTCAACTGTAAGTAAAGCAAAACCATGAAACGCTGTCTAAGAACCTAAACTGGTAGTAATTACAGGGTTGTCATGAGTAATAATCCGGAGTTCTAATCAGGATTCCGAATGAGGTTGTTTGTTTGAGAAAAATGGACTACCCGGATTAGGCGCTGTTTTTGACAGGAGCATCTGACGAAGTAATTCTCGTTTCCATTCCGCTGGCATTAAAGGAACAATTTGATGTGTTCTCCCTACTGGATAAAATAAAAAGCACTCCGTACTGTGTCCGATGGTTTCAGTATCTCATTGCTACAAATCTTTAAATTCAGACACTATAACATAACACGTTTCTTGCCATGAAAGTGATTTTTGGTGTTTCACGTTTTTTCACATCAAGGTAACCGATTGTTTGTCTATCTCAAATTAATTGTTTATGACACTGGAGGTCTTTCAATGAAGGTGTAGTTTTCCTAAATAAACTACCCCGGAGCTTGCCATGGATGACGCCAAGACGTTGTTGCATTAGGGTGTGTTGCACAGTATAAAAACAATGTTCGGATTTCAGTAGCTAATATAACTCACGTTCTGGAGCAGGTCTCTGGGTACTTGCGGGGTTAAGCCACTTGAGAAAAATTTGAGTGATTCTCATTCCTTCTCCGTCAACTAAATTCATGTTAGTAAGAAACAAGTGGATGATTTAAATAAATATCTAGCTCATCAAATTAGCCACTTATCCTGCATTGTGGTAAGAATGAAATGGGTTTAAGGAAGAATTTTTTAGTTGAGTATATAATGAATATTGTTTTGTGTGAAAGCGACCAAAAGGAAGATTTTTGAACGCCATTTGTGAATTCAAACGTGAATATTGCAAAACAATTATTTTCCATAGACGAAAATACTTTACACGCTTCTGGTATTGAAACGTTTGGAGTAGCGATTTATCACATCGATAATGGAACAAATCACAAACAGTCTCGAATT